ATTTGTTTTGGTTCAGAAGTATAGCTATCTGTTATCTGGAGCATGGCCAGAATCTGGTTGATAACTAAGAACTGTAGAGAGAGATTAGTTCTTGATCATTGTCAACTTGTATCTTTTGTTTAAGGACAGACTGATTTTTTGCCCTCCAGCATAGCCGAGGACCCTGTGTTCTCCACAACCTGTGTGTAATTTTGTGACTTTTAAATTGCCAGGTAATGTTTGAGATAGAATCAGCAATATGGCAGGAGCAGTACAGTTTTATCTACTATAAAGAGGAGGGTTTATTCAAATTTAGATAACAGCAGGTCAATCACAATATATTTAAAATTAAAATAATTCTGTGGCGGAAAGCCCAGACCAAGTAGGGATGCAGTGACAGAGTAGGCAGTGGCTACTTGCTTGGCCATCAAGAAACAGGTTAGGCTCGCTTAGGGAGTGTTTTACAGGGATTTTCAAAGGTGCCTTGTTGAAACATGATGTTCTTCTTTCCTCTGTAGACACTTCAGCATTAGTGGATTTTATGGGGGAAAAAGAGATGAGAGTTTAACCAGTGGGTATTGGCAGCTTCAATTAAACAATTGCACCCTTTAAATTTTAATTTTAAAATCAGTGACAGCTGGTATTTGGGTATTCAGATGTATTTTTCTAGTGAGTCATAGGTTTTTTTATTTTTGGTCTAGTGGTTAAAAGGTTCAGAGTATTGTGTGGGTGTAAATGTAAACATGTTTTGTTTTCGGTGGTGTATCTTAACACATTAACTCTTCTTGGCTTTTTGGCTAAGATCAAGTGTCAAATCTGTAAAAAAAAAAAAAAAAACAACCAAATATGTATAGAAAAGATTTCCACTTTCTTCTTACTAAGTAGAAACTAGGTTTTGTGCTTAGTATTTGCACTAACCTGCTTGAAGTCAGCTTCATGTTTCTGAGGATGGATCTTGTGGATGCTTGCTAATTCCTAGAAAAATGTGGTGTCTTTATTGAAGAATGTGGGATTTGTCAATGACTAGACTCAGCTATTTTTTTTTTTTAGCCTATGAAGTATTTGATCTCCAAAGGCTCCTCTTGTTTAACATGTAGTCCTGGAGTTGTGGAACTGAGTTTTGCGTTTAAGAAAAGTTTCTTGTTCAAGGTCTCCTGTTGTATTTATTTGGTTTTTTTCTGGGAAGGCCATGCAAGGCAATGCGATGTTTGGCCTTCTCTCCGTCCTTTCTAATCACTGGATACAGACAGCTCCTAGAAGCAGCAAAAACATAGGTAGCGGGAAGATGATAGTTACAAATCTACTGGGCTTATTATTCGTGACGTGGCAGTTGCTGGTCTTCACAGTATCCTACTGGTCAACCTTGGTCTGTCTAGCTCTAAAGCCTGGACAGTACCATCTAGATAAGGTTACCTTCAAGGAAGGCCATCAGTCCTCTTGAAATTTCTCAGAGCTATTTGTGAGCTGGTGGTGTTCGACCTTGTATTCTTATTGTTTCTTTGCTTTTATTATTTTTATGTATTTGAAAGGTAAAGTTACAGAGGGAGGGAGAGAGACGGGGAGGGAGAGAGAGGGACAGAGAGAGAGAAATCTTCCATGTGCTGGTTCACTCTCCAAATGACTACAGCAGATGGGACTAGGCCAGATGAAAGACAGGAGCTTTTTCTGACTCTCCCATGTCAGTGCTAGAACACAAGTACTTGTATTATCTTCTGCTGCTTTCCCAGGCACATTAGAGGGAACTGGATTAGGACTATACCATAAAATTCAAAATAAAAATTTAACATCAACAGAAGTGGGGTAGCCAGGACTCCCGTATGGAAAGCCAGCACTGCAGACGGTGGTTTAGGCTGCCACAGCACTGGCATCTGTTTTCTGTGTCATATTTATTTTGTGTTAGGAACCCAGGATTGCAAATCACTCACAGTGTATAATTACTAGTTTTATGGTTTACAGTTGCATTGCTCATGTGAATTTGAAGGAGCAGCTTTAATCTGGACAATCTCTAAACTGATTTTTTAAAACATTTATGTTTTTTTCATAATCTATGTGGCTTATAAGCTTCGTGTATTTCACCTGTTTGGTGTAGGGCTTCCATTTGTAAATTTTGACAACCGTTCAAGCCTCCTTCCAACCTCTTATTTCTGAAGTCTAAGTACTTACGTCTTCTTTTTCCTTTAGTTGTTGGTGATGTAAGGTCTAGAATCTCCTCTTAAGACTGTCTGTGGGTTGTTTATCACCATTAGCCTTCATTATTTTAAATGAGTACCCCACCTACCCTGTACTCTGTAACCACCGGTCTCTAGAGTTTCTCGGGAGATAACATCTTGTAGCTTAGCTTCCCGCCACACAGTTTTTTTCTTGACTTACTCAAAAATGTTTTATGGCTGAAGCTCAGGGAAAGCATGAGGGAAAACACCTGTAGAGAGAATGTTCTCTGTGTTTGTGTGAAATTGGGGAAGAAAATTTTGGAAGTGAGCGTAGCTCATGACTCTGAAACTTTGAAATGAAAGCTTACCATGTGTTTAACACACATTAGTTTGTAAATACAGAGTCTCACTAATTGCATTTACAGCTCACAGCAGAACCACTTGTTATGTCTTGTTACACTGAGGGAAAAAAAATGAGAGAATTATATATGTGTGTGTGTTTAAGAACTGGAATACAAAGAATGCTGCAGTGTGTCAATTGTCTCTAATTATTATGTGCCTTATTTTTTTTCCTGGGGAGGCAATTAATCAGTTCTCTCCATCCATTTTTGGATGAAGCAATTAATCTGTTTTTCTGTTATTGTGATGCCTGAATTCTGTTGCGCTCCGCTTGGAGGACACTCTGGAGTGAGTGCCTCGTTTTTGTAGGGCAATAAATTATTGTTATCCTTCTTTTTTCTTTTGATTGGAATGATTGGAAAACTCTAAATTTTTCCCATGTTTTCCAGATGTAGTGTGTATTGATTCTAGATTGTGATTTTGTCTTTCAAAAGGATTAAATGTTTTCTTACGTTCTCAAGACTGACTTTTTATGGTTCAGGCCAAGTGTCTTTGGAGGCGGGGTGACTCAGTCACTTGATACTGGCAAACTGGTAACCTTTACTTTTAGAACTGTAGCAAAATTTTCAGAAACAATCCATAAAAATGAATCTTGTGTATTTTTACTGAGAAGGCTATGTTCCTGCTTGAAAAAAACCACAGAAAAAGGCAAATAGGGAAAGTATGTAATGGCAGACCAGGGGATTACCCAGCCAGGTCAGCTCCTCCTTCAGGTTACAGATGAACTGTCTGAGGTCCAGCTCCAGGGCCAGCTGCTGCTGCCTGCTGCTTCTGATCCCATTTTGGTGCTGTTTCTCCAGGATCTTGCCAGAGTGCTTACGAAAAATAAATGGTTCCCCTTGTATTTCCCTCAAGAATGATGGCTGATTCATGTTGGGGCCTTGGTTTTAAAACATCAAGTCCTGGGAAAGTATATTAATCTTGCTTTGTATATAAGTTATCTTTAATAGGACTTGAGTTCTTTGCTGTGTTATTACATTTTGGAATGCTTGCAGTTTCTGTGGTCATGAGAGTCATCTAAAGAAAGTTCTTGCTCTAAGAAATTCACATGAACTTGGTCCCTCACTATTAATAATATTAGTAATCCGCCCCCCCCCCGCTTTTTTTTTTTCAATTTTTAAGTATAAGTGCTTGTCCTGAAATATAAGGGTGATTATAGACTCAAGGGTTTGCTTTTTAGGATATGTGGAGAGAAGTAACAAGTTTGGAGTGATAGTTAAGAAGGCTCAAAATTCAGGTCACATTTCTAGTTGCATCACTTGGTAAATAACCTTGGGAGGTTATTTTATCTCTGTAAGCTTCAGTTTCCCCAATTGTGAAGTGAAAAATTTTATGTGCTAATTATATTATGAACATCGTTTACATATCAGTGACTACCACTTCTGTTGGGAAAGGCTTCAGAATGGGAATGCAAGTTCCATTTCTAAATTATTGAGAGGGAAGAAGGAGAGAAGAGATTAACTTGTTTTGATAATGAAGGTGTCATGAAACTAACAATGTTGTTAGGTGACTGCGGTGGGCTTGAATTTTCTTCTGCCTCTTTCTGCCAGTATGTGTAATGCAATAGTGGGAATATCATACACCTGATTTGCATGGCAGTGTGTGGAGGGGAGAAGCTCAAGGTGTCAGCTACACAGTGGAGCACCAGCAACAGACAGGGAAGCAGAGGAACCTGAGCGAGATAACTCAAGTGTCCGTGTGTGCTCGGACTTTCCCTCGGGAGGCTGTGCTAACCTGTCTTCCTCAGTGTTGATTTCAGAGTGTGGAGGAGAGAACGCCAGTTTTAAAAGGCAGCTGCCAAGCAAGAGGGAAATGGTTAATAAAATAGATTTTTTTTGGCTGTTTGAACTAGTTAATTGTTGAGATATATCATCAAATGAGTTCTGTTTTTTCTGCTGACGCTCTATGGAAGAACTGGAAATGGACCGCATACCTATCATGTATGCACTTGTCTTCAGCCTGCATCTGTGCATAGGCTGAAAATGAAATCCACCAACAACTCCCACCTGGAGCACTTTTATGGATATGAAGCAAATGTGCTGGGAGCAGAGCTAGCTAGGCACATGCTTTTATTGTCCTTGATAGTAACTCCAAAAGCCACCCTCTCCTGGAAGTATGTTTTGTCAAGCCCTGGTGTTTATTTATTTTAACTGGATATTGTCCTTTGGATAACAGAACTCTAGGAAGCCACACTGGGTAATTCATTGCAAGCAGTGTGAGAATTTTTTTCTTTTTTAAGCTTAAAAGGGAAATCACATTTCCAGGTTATAGGATATGATCTGTGTTAAAATATATAAGTTTTCTGTTTTTTTTTTTCTGAGCCAAATTATGGCTATTCCCAAGTAGGTCTTCTGTACCAATTTTTCCTTACATTTTTATTCAAAATTTTAGCAGCTGATTAGTTTTCTTTTGGATTAAATGCCTTCAACCTCATATCACTTAGTTAACAGCATTCATAATTTTGTTTTGCAGGGATATCAGTATGAACAACATTACCCAGTTACCAGAGGATGCATTTAAGAATTTTCCTTTTCTGGAAGAGCTGTAAGTATTACATGAAGAAATGTGTGTGTGTTTGTTCCATCTCCCATTTTCTTTAGAATCTTTAATAAGTATACAGATAGATTAATGTTTCTCATTAGGAAGCATTTAGTTTTCTTAGTGTCATTGAACTTGGTGCAACAAAAATCATGATTTCTTTTTAAAAAAACAAACTTGATTTTTCAGCAGTATGATTACTGCAGTTAATTCTGAAAAACCAGAACTGAAAAAAAAATTAGTTCCATAGGACTTTCTTTGGCTACAGTTATTATAACCTTACACGCTGCTATGATACAATTTAATTACAGTTATCCCAAGATATCAGGACTGCCAGATAATTACCATTGTTGCTGAAGGAGTTGCTGTGTGGGTAACTGAGCCAGAAAAAGAAAAAAGAAAAAAAAGGGAGAGGGAGAAAGAGAAACATGCAAGTTGTTTTGTGATGAAACAGTCTGCCTTGACAGAGGGAAGAGGAAACAAGATATAGATTTTGTGGGTAGCATTTGGGGTAGAGTTCAGACATGCGATTCATCCAGTTTCTAAAAGTACCCTTAAATCGGTGACTTCTCACATTTTCAGCTTTTAATTGATGAAAAAACAATACTTATTTCCACTTGTTTCAAGTTGCATTTTGTTTTAATTTCCCTACATTTTTAAAGTCTAATCAAAACTGGCATCTTCCAGATTTTAAATGAATCAGGAGCTCTGTCTGTATTTTAAAAATACAGGTTCAAACAAAAGAAAACCAGACTTGAGTCAAGTTAATATAGCTTTCAACGGCTGAGCTCACAGATCACATAGTGTGTGGAGGCAGGGATGGTTTTATTTTAAGAATATCAAAGAGATCCAGCCATGAGCAATGGAAATTCATGTTACAGATTGTGTCATACACTCTAGCTATTGGATTGATCCAAAGCAATGCATGTTTCCTATCTTAACTGGGTCCCTCATCAACAGTGGGGAGCAGGAGTGAAATATGATAGATTATATATGATAGATACAGCTATATTGTGTTTCCTGCTTTTAATAGTGTAGTGAAATACTGGTTAAGTGTTTAATGAAGTTAAGGAAAATTTTTTCTTCCCACACTACTTATTTGAGCGTAATGATCCCAAAGCAAAAGTGCCATGCTGTTGATTTGCAACTTACACATTTTGTGAACAGTGTTAAATTACTTAGTCTCTCTCTGATCAGTTTCTTTGTTTGCAGGATACTAATAGTCCCTCCCTCATAATATTGTACAGAAGACAGCATGTGTTAATGCATTTTAAATGTGTGGGACAGTGTGTGAAATGGAAGAATTGCTAAATAAATGCTAGCTGTATTTTTAAATCGCACAAGAACTAAAAGCAGAATATTGCCATATGTTCATTTTTAATATACATGTTTTTTATTTGAGAGGTAGGTGGAGAGCTCCCCTCTGCTGGTTTGCTCCCCAACTGCCTGTAAGAGTGCAGAATTAAATCTAAAGCTTCCATATGGGTGGCAGAGAGAGACTGGTGCTATCAGCTGCTCTTTCCCACTCTGTGTGTCAGCAGGAAACTGGCATAGGGAGCAGAGCTGGGACTAGAACCAGCGAACTCCAGTGCAGTGTGTAGGTGTCCTGACTGCTGCACCACTCACTCCACCATAAAAGATGAAAAGACTCAGTGTATGTTTTTTTTTTTTTTAAAGATTTATTTTTATTATTTTTTATTGGAAAGGCGGATATACAGAGAGGAGAGACAGAGAGGAAGATCTTCCGTCCGATGATTCACTCCCCAAGTGAGCGCAACGGGTCGATACTATGCCGATCCGAAGCCAGGAGCCTCTTCCGGGTCTCCCACGCGGGTGCAGGTTCCCAAAGCTTTGGGCCGTCCTTGACTGCTTTCCCGGGCCACAGGCAGGGAGCTGGAAGGGAAGCGGGGCTGCCGGGATTAGAACCGGCACCCATATGGGATCCCGGGCGTGCAAGGCGAGGACTTAACCACTTGCGCCACCGCGCCGGGCCCTCAGTGTATGTTTTATATTTGCCTTCTCCATTGTATAGTGAACATTAGTGACTTTGTAATGAGATTATTGATTAAAATTTAAAATTCAAAATATTGATTAAAATTGTTAAAATTTTGCCTTGAGTTCAGAAAAGAGTGAGCCATGCATTTAAAACCTCCACCCCCTAACCAAGCTTTAAGGGGCTTATACTTCTTCATTTTCGTTTTCCATATAGCTTTAGATCTTAGGATTAGTCTCTCTTTACAGAAGTAATTGCATAATGACTAGTGGTTATTCAGCTGTTGTTTAACCACTGTGGGGTGTGTGCTGCATCAGGTAGGAAATTGAGAAGACAGCCTTTTCTACATGAAGCTGTTGTGTGCAGATCACTTTTGCTGATGTCATTAATTACCAGTCTGTCTTTAGGATTTTATGGTGAATGCTTGGATGTGGAGTCAAACCTGTTGATATTTGTGTTGTGAAGTTCACTTCTTGGATTTCATAAAATCTCAAGCATATGTTAACCTCATGAATTCTGCCAACCAAAACTTTTAATTAGGACCAAATTGAATTTGACTGCCTCTTCATTGTAGCGAGGTCATGATCTCTACATTTTGCTATTGCAGTAGCAAAATTTATTACGTCAAGTTGGTATGTTTTCTCCAAGTACTGTATAGGATTTCGAATGTGAATTTGGTTAGGAAAATTGAGTGTTACATTTAAAGAGCATTCCAAATTGATCTTTATAATCTGGCAACTTTTTAGGCATTCAAGGAAATTTATTACATATGAATATAAACATAACCCCCCCATTTTTAATTTAATTTTATTTATTTACTTAATTTATTTTAATTTTATTGGAAAGGCAGATTTATAGAGAGGAGAATGAGAGGGAAAGATCTTCCATCTGCTGGTTCATTTCCCAAGTAGCTGTAGCGGCTGAAGCTGAGCCTCTCCAAATTCAGGAGCCAAGTGCTTCTTCTGGGTCTCCCATACATGTACAGGTTTCCAAGGCCTTGGGCCGTCCTCTACTGCTTCCGCAGGCCAAAAGCAGGGAGCTAGATGGGAAATAAAGCAACTGGAACATGAACCAGCACCCATATGGGATTTTGGTGCATGGAAGGAAAGGATTTGGCCATTAGGTTATCATGCCAGGCTCTTGTCCTTTCTTTGTAAAAGTATGGTTGATCTTGACATTGCAAAATGATGCTGCTATGACTATTGTAATATTTCATAAACAGCATGACCATTTGTTCAAAAATCATCTGGAAATCATTTAGCAATGAATGTGAAGTTGAATACCCTGGGTAGAAATGAGTAAATTGCTAAAATTTTTTTCCATCTAGTTAATGAGGTGTGCTTGTAAGATGTGAGCAATTTGGCCAATTATTTTTTCAACTTTATTTTTTGATGATGTTTACATAGTTGATTAGGGTGGGAATGGTCCAGGGTTAGGGGTATGTGGGTGAAACATTGTTTCCACATTTTCTTTTTTTCTCTTTTTTTCCTTCTTCCTGTATTTGGGGGAAGAGGGGTGGAGATAAAGGGGAAGGCCACAACCAGTCTCAGTACCCAGTAATGGGAAACGGCTACCCGAAGTCATCTCAGGGTCTCTGTGTGGAGCAGAACTCTCTGAGGGTTCAGCTCAAGTGGTTTCCATAGTTCAATAGTTAAATGCTGTTTATCTTATTGATCTATTGATGAGGAAATCATTCCAAGGTCCATTGGCTGTCATAACCTACCTCAGAATCTCCATTCGCCCAGGTATTTACTGCTAACGCTTAGTTGGAGTGGATGACCAATTTGTTCTGACCTCCTTCCTTATTATGGTATCAGATGTCCTCTGCAGGCTCGAATGGGCTGCCTATCCTCCATGTTCATCTGAGTATGCCATCAATTGCTCTGACCAAACCACTGAAGAGTCCCAGTTCTGACACATGCACTCCACGGTCAGACCACAGATGCTATGATTCTCCCCATGGTTGGGATTTTGAGTCCTGTGGTTCAGTTGAGGGGGATCCCTAAAGAAACCTCATCTGAAGTGACCCCAGACCTGACTCTTGTTTGTGATTAGCAGCACAGAATCTGCCTCTGTACGCCCCCCACATCAGCCTACACACACACTGGTAATTGCAATTGCTGGGTCAGTTGATGTCTCCAGCCCCAACTTTTATGTGTACCAATGGATGCTGCAGCCCAGCCCAACCCTGCGCACCACACACTTGATGCTCACATTCACCACTGCAGCCTAGTTGGAATGACCCCATTAACCCCCAATAGGCCTGCCCCCAGCCCTGGTTCATATGCTTGCCAATTTGTACAGCAGACTAGTCCAGTCTATCCCACATCCCATTCAGATCTCATACATGTCAATGGGCATTGAAACCTAGCTCAAGCCAGCCAACCCTGTTGTCCAGCCCACACTAATGCCAATGGGTGCCACCAGTGTCTAGCCAGGCCCTTCTCCAGTCTCATGCTAATGAGTGGGAGTTGCAATCCATGAGAGATACCCACAGTTTCCCTACTAGGCCCACTCCCAGATCTTGTTCTTTCATGGTGGTTCTGCAGTCTAACTTGACAAGAATTACTCCCAATCCCAGCACTTGCCGGCTGATACTATGGCCAAGTCCAACTAGCCTGCTCTTACTCTGGCTGGTCTGCCCCCATCCTAGTTCTCATGCTCCCCAGTGGAAGCAGTGGCCCAACAGGAAAGCTCCCTGCAGCTCCTTACTGGGCTCATGCCCTCTTACTCCGCTCTCTGGTCCATGTGTTGATAGATGGTATGGCCCAGTCTGGCATTGCCTGCGTCACCTCAGCATTTGATGGTGGCTGCTGTATCTTGGCCCGTTCTTGCCTGCCCCCAAATCCAGCTCTTGTTGATGTGTACTGCATCCTTGCTCATCCTACCTAGCCCAATGCCACCTGTCCTATACCCTGTTCTGGTTCTTGGATCTTCAAGTGTGTGTTATAACCTGGCCCAGGCTGGCTCACTTCCAGACCTGACCCACACATATGCTGGCAGGCACTGCAAC